AAAAAAATTTAAAAAAAAAAAAAAAAAGGAGAATGGGTTAAAAGCTAAAAACCTCACTGCAAGTCCACTTGCAGAGCGCGTATCTCCCTTTGCTCTCTCCCTGACCCCGCTGCTTGCGGTGTAGCCAGCGTATGCCCGCCAATTTGGCAAATCCTAAACATTTGGATGCCAATCAATGTTTGTATGGGGAAGTCTAAAGTATAGTAAAACTTTCCCCAAGATATATTTGGAAATAGCAGCAGGCAGTATAGTAAAATGCCAATATAGCTGCATATACAAATACAATGAAGGGTGGTTTTCTCTCCGTTTCCTAAATGGTGAAGGGAATAGAAAGTAACGCGGCCGATTTATGCCGTGTGCGCAACACTAAAATCCTAGAAAAAGCCAAGCCTCGCAATTAAAAAAAAAAAAAAAAAAAAGTTTTGTTTATATTTAGTCAAAAAGAAAAAAATAAAAATCTGATATTTGGGCATATTAGGACAAACCAAACTCTGAGCCCTTCTAGAAAATAAAAAGAAAACAGGAAAAATTGAAAAACGCGGTAACAGAAAACCTTAACACGACGTGCAAATACGCAAAGAATTGTCAATTTTTTTCTTTATACGTTGTGTCATATTTTCATACATTCAAAAAGAAATGCCCTACTTGGAAAGTTAGTTTGGCCATCCAGAGACACTGTTTGCTTTGTGTAATGATGAGTTAAAGATCACCCCTCTTCCTTGGCACAAAAATAATCACGAGTAAAATTATGCTGATAAATAAAATAAAAAAAAAAGGCAAGAAAGACCCCCCGATTTTGTTAAAAAAATTATAATATGTATCCTCAAAAAGTACTACACAAATCAGCTAGAGAGATCAAACCATATTATAATGCACTGGGACTATGCTTTTTGTTTTTCTCTGAATAAATGAATGACCGAACTCCGGGCTGCACATAAATACGTATATAGCCTGTGGGGCCTGATCCAGCACTGCGTGCTGGGGACGTCTCTGCTTCCAGGGGCCGAGTCCCTCCTTCTCTCAGGATCGGGCCCTCCAGGACGGAAAAATAAAGTAATTTGTGCACCGTTTCCCCCAGCATGGTTAAATCCACCCACTGCCTATCCTTGCAAGGCAACACTGGGGATTTTTCAGATTAACTAACTTTTTTTTTTTTTTTTTTAAATTATCCCATGGAGTACATTTCCTACCCAAATCATTTCAGGTCGTGCAAATATGGGTGTTACAACAGACATCTCACTTCCTTTCAATACCTTATTTTAACTTGCATTTTCTTTTCAAGAATTATGAAAAATTGAGAAATCAATGGCAGAAATATCTATCAGTAAAATCCTGTCGTAATTCAAGACCTTCTGCTGACTTCCCAAAAGCTTTCATTGCACTTATTCTGAGTGGCCCCTGAATTGTAAATACTTAAATCTATAGGTAATACCCCAGCATTTATTTTCATTTTAAACACAAATTGTTAAAAACTACGCAAAACGGCACAATATATTTCATTATAGCACAGCAAAGCAGCAGTAAGCACAAGTACTATGAATGATTATTAAAATATAAGCAGGTAAAATAAAATAAATCACTCCAATGATTGGCACATTCCTCTTCCCCCCCCCTTTACTGGAAAAGATCATAGTTTCAAATTTCAATAAAGTTTAAAAAAAAAAAAAAAAAAGATTGCTGCGAGTTTGCAGTCGGCAGATTCAAAAAGTGAGAGGAGGCACAATCCCAGCACATGGAGCTGCTCTCACCCACCAGAAACAGCTCTTGGGGGGGGGAGAAAAAAAATAATAATAAAAATATAAAAACTCCAGGTCCCTACAAGCTATTAAAAATAATAAACCCTCCCTTTTGATCCTTCTTGTCCTTCCCCTTCCCCACTCAGGGAAAGTCAAGGGAAAAAAAAGGCCTTTTGTCAAGTGGAAGTTTATCTGCGAAGGTACACACGGCAGGCG